TATGACGTCATCGATGACGTAAGTAAAAACCCTCGTGCCTTGTAACGAATTATACATATGTTTGGTTGAAATTTCAGACATAAAAAAACCTATTTTTCAAAAAGGCAAATGATGAAGTACAAACCCTCGTAAAACTAACTTTTTTTTACGCGTCTCATTTCGTCAGCACCCCTTGAATAGGGAATTTTCATATTTCTCAATTTATTTTTTTTAGATACTTCTAGCGATCAGATATTACATGGTTTAATTTTTTTCCATTTTAATTTATACTTTGTACGAAAAAAAAATTATTGAAATTCAAATCAAAAACTTTGGCGCGAAAACGCCAGGTTTCAATATGACAGCACTTGGGACATCAATATTTCGTAAACAACAAACGCAGCAAACGAACTCCTGCTGACGCAGTGCTATTTTTGTGTTATTTAAAAGTGGAAAAGCTTTCTTTTTGTGAAAATTGTCGCGATGGATGAAGAATATTGTATAGGACTACTTTTGGAATTAAATTTCACTTGCAAGTTTCCTCTTGACAAGCTTGTTTACAGAATCGTGACGTCAAAAAAAAGGGGCCATCATGGAAAGATTGTTTTGGCGGGAATTTTTTTATTTCAAATTTACTATTATTTTTTTTGTAACAAGGGCGGTATTAGTTGAATGAAAACTGGTCATATGAATATTTTACAGTATAAACTATCGATTTAAATCAAATTTGGATAATTTTATTTCCCTTGCAAGTTCCCTATTTGGAGCCTAGTTGCGCTTATGCACATCCTGAAAATGCCAGACAAAAAAAAAATCCTGTGCAATTCACACCCGGTAGAAGTGAAACTTTCATCGAACTGCATGCATTATTACACACATACTAACATACACAGTGGCGTCCCCCCCTCCAAAAGACTTGAGAAAGAACGCAAATAAATATAGTTTGAAAAAACTAAAATACACGCTGGGGTGCTTGGTTCCACATTTCTCATATATTGAGCACCCCACGCTTTTTTGACAATAATTTTAATATTTTTTGTTCATTAATATTTTCTGTTTATATTAAAAATTATTTTTCACTTTTTAGTTCAATTTACTATAAAACCATGTTTTTTAAGTTTTTTAAAATATATTTATTTTTCACTTTTTAGTTCGATGTATTAAAAGCGTGTCAACCCCAGAGATTTCCAGACTTTTCCAGACATTATCCAGACTTATTCAGAGCTTTCCAGAGCTTTCCAGAGTTTTCCAGATTTCATCCAGATTTATCCAGTCTTGTACAGACTGATCCGGATTCTGGAAAATGATTCCCAGGTCTTTTGGAACCTTTTTCAGAATTTTTCCGACCCTTTCAAGAAATTTCCAGGCATTTTCCAGACGTTTCCACAGATTTCCAGACATTATCCAGACTTATCCAGAGCTTTCCAGAGTTTTCCAGACTGCATCCAGATACATCCAGACTTGTTCAGACTGATCCGGATTCTGGAAAATGATCCCCAGGTCTTTTAAGACCTTTTTCAGAATTTTTCCAACCCTTTCCAGAAATTTCCAAGTCTTTTCCAGACGCTTCCAGACAATATCCAGACTTATCCAGAGTTTTCCAGAGTTTTACAGACTTTATCCAGATTTATCCAGACTTTTACAGACTGATCGGGATTCTGGAAAATGATCCCCAGGTCTTTTGGGACCTTTGGCAGAATTTTTCCGACCCTTTCCAGAAATTTCCAGGTTCTTTCCAGACGTTTGCAGAGCTTTCCAGACTTCATCCAGATTAATACAGACTTGTTCAGGCTGATCCGGATTCTGAAAAATGATCCCCAGGTCTTTTGGAACCTTTTTCAGATTTTTTCCAACCCTTTCCAAAAATTTCCAAGTCTTTTCCAGACGTTTCCAGAAATTTCCAGACTTTTCCAGACAATAACCAGACTTATCCAGAGTCTTAGAGACTTTATCCAAATTTATCCAGACCTTATCCAGACTTGTACAGACTGATCCGGATTCTGGAAAATGATCCCCAGGTCTTTTGGAACCTTTGGCAGAATTTTTCCGACCCTTTCCAGAAATTTCCAGGCTCTTTTCAGACGTTTCCAGAGATTTCCAGACCTTTCCAGACTTCATCCAGATTTATCCAGACTTGTTCCAGCTCACTTGGCTTGTTCCAGGTTCTTGTTGTGTGTTGTGTGTTAATATAAGCGTGTTAAAAAAGTGTTGCTTTTTCGTTTCGTTTCATCGGGTCGCTTTTTCGTTTCATCGAGTCTCAAATCACTCCCAACGATTCTAAAGAAATTTTCACTTCAAAAATGACTCCACTCAACATTCCCTATCTCACGCAGAGCATAATTTTGTTTTAGATTATACATATATTTTCTATTTATACAGCAAATTAGACGTAGCAACTAGGTATTCAGTAGCAACAGCAACTGTATTATTTTATGAATGTCTATTATATGATTTATTGTAACTTTTGTTTTTTTTAAGCATCTAATATGTCGATGTAAAAAATTCTAAAACCGCCGCGCCAGTTAGTCTATCATCTTACAAGGTAAAATCACAAAAAATATTAAATGCCCGAGAACATCGCGCAACGCTGTTAAAATTTGTTTGCCGAAAAGCTAGCGCGAATATAAATTATTTCAATTTATAACACCGGAGCAGCGCCTCTAGCGGTCTGCCGTCGCCCATAAGCGTGGGTTTTCTATAGTTAACTATAATATTCTTTGCCTATACCTATCTTCAACTTTTTCAGAAATATTGACAGTTGAAAATTGACTTTTTTGCAACTTTGACAGGCTGTAGAATTTAAACGGTTAATTTTAGGGGAAAACCGATTTTACATTCCTGATTTCTCAGATTTTTATAAACTATCATCTGATACCAACTTTGAATTTAATCCATGATTAAAAATTCCAATTAAATTTAATCTCCGGTTAAATTGAAAGTTGGTATCGAATGATAGTTTATAAAAATCTGAGTTAGGAATATAAAATCGGTTTTGCTCTAAAATTAACCGTTTAGGTTCTACAGCCTGTCAAAGTTGCAAAAAAGTTAATTTTCAACTGTCAATATTTCCGAAACAGTTGAAGATAGGTATAGGACATGATACATGAAATAGGTTCAGAATTTGAAAATGAAATAAAAAATTGGTGTTTTCATTAAAAAAAATAAAGTTAGCTGTCATAACTTGTTTTTGAGTCACCCTGTATACATGGTATTATCATCAAAAAAACGGCCACTAAAATCAAAAATTGTCGTGTCCGAGGTTTTTTAAAAAATATCCACCCTGTATATTTTATAGATTTTATTCCAACCTTTAAGTGCTCACTGTATGTTTTGTTTCCGTTTTGACAAGTTTTGTGTTTAATTCTTGTGATTTGTTGTATTTGGGGTGGTTTTTGCAGTGTCTTTGAAAAGTCTCAAAGGTAAAGACCTCCATGGTAAAGACCGAAGACCTAACCTCAAATCTTTGAAGAAAAACAGTTCATTGAGTTAAACAAGCGCGGGTGCCGCCGGTACGCATTTTTCCGTTTTCTATTTGGTTACCGCTACATGGAGCGCTAATCCTTTAGGACTTGTGAAATTATATCTGGCATCGCGTTTCCTATTAGGCCAGCGCACATTGTCTACTGCTACAATGGAGCGCTAATCATATAGGACTTGTTAAATTGTATCTGACGTCGCGTTTCCTATTAGACCAGCGCACACCCTCTACTATCGACATCCATTGCAATGCATTATCGTTGTCATTTTTTGAGGTTAATTGGTGATTACAGGTGGTGCAATAATTTTGTAATATTTCTCGTTGGGTCTCGTTTTATTATTTCTGTTGATTCTACACCAATGCCAAAAATTCTTTACCAATGGATTGTCGCCTATCATAGCAGACATTTTAGCTGTAATTGCGAAAAGATCCTATTCTAGTAGTAGAACGCACTTTACTAAGTTAGCAAAAAGTACCACTACCTGCCACTAATATTTTTTTGCTGTTACATTAGAAACACTTATTATTATTAATAAGTATATTTTCTACCGCGGCAAAGTGCTTGCCTGCAACTATATGGAAAAGTTTTTCATAAGTTTTTATTGCTGCTGGAAAGAATTTTACTGCTAAAAAAAAGTTAAACTCTGCAAGTTGTTTTATTAATTATTATCAAAAACCAACCCAATGTCGAAAGTCATGTAATAGCATGGCTAGCAATATGAGCGTAGTTATTTAATTTACGTGCGCTGGTCTAATAGGGAACGCGACGTCGGATATAATTTAACAAGTCCTAGTCCTATAGGAGTAGCGCACAATGTAGCGGTAGTCAATGTGCGCTGGCCTAATAGGAAACGCAATGCCAGATATAATTTACAAGTCCTAAAGGATTAGCGCCCCATGTAGCGGTAACCAAATAGGAAACGGAAAAATGCACCCTGTATCTAGTAAACTAATAGTGATAGGATCAAGTTGTGCCAATGGACACTTTTAATCCTAATGTTGAGAGTAGCATTATATCAAATTTTCAAAAAAATTGACTAAGTCTCAAAATCTCATAAGAAGTGTGCGGGGTCCTTTACTACAACTTCATTTGATATATTTGACGTGGGATGCGTATTTTGGAAGATATTTCACAAAATGAATGACCATTTCGAAAAAAATTCACTTTTTGGAAAAAATGTCCCATTTTCCTAGAGCTGTATCTTGAGAACTAATGGCTGTATAGAGCTCGTCTTGGTCTCAATTTATAGCAAATTTAGTCTACTTTGAGATGTAGAGTGAATATACCGGTTAGCCCCTCCCTTCGCTGAAATATTGAGCAAAAACTGAAAAAACATCGAAATTTCATGGTTTTTTGGGTACACCGCCACTCGCACAGCACTTTGGAAATTGCAAATCTGGTTTTTTAATATTGGTTCAGGTCCTAACAACATATAAAAAATTCAGAACAACCGGACCTTTTGCAAGCACGGATGTACATCTTATTGATTAGCCTATTTAGACAATGTGATTTTAGTAATGTCAAGTTGCTATTCTCTTGTAGATGCCAAAGAAAAGGCAAGACTGGATATCCATGCCGCTATCCGGCACGCCTGTTCCCAAGGGGACCTCAACTCGGTGCAACAACTTTTGTCTTCCCTGCAAAACGATGCCGAACTCCTGGTTAATATGGCTCCTAGTGGCGCTAACACATTACTATTCACTGCCTGTGAAACTGGCAACCGTCAAATAGTCAAAATTTTACTGGACCACGGTGCAGATGGTAGATATCACTCGGTTACAAAGTATTCACCTTTGTACATTGCATGTTACCAAGGACATCGTGAGGTGGTTGAAATGCTTCTTATCAAATTTCCAGAGCTTGTGCAGGTAAAACATTCTCTATTGAAATCCCTCAATAGGCAGTACTAAGGGAAATTTATATTTTAGCAACATACAGTGGAAAGATGGTTGCCAATACATGCTGCTTGCATAAATGGACATCATTCAATTTTAGAGCTACTTTTTTATTTTCCATATCCTACTAATTTATTACGGAAATACAGGTTAGTGTGTTTTTATAGGTTTGATTTGTTGAAATTCAGTTATCTATTGCAGAGATGTCACTGAACAATGGGAATATTTTATGCCTTTTGATTTAAATGAAAGGGACGCTACTGGCCAAAATATTTTATATGTGGCTTCTCTATTGGGTAATAAAAAGTTAGTCGAAGTGATACTGAAATTTAAAATTAAAGCCACAAGAATTATACAGTGTGGTAGCTCGGTAAGTACTTTCCGTTTTTAAGAAACAAAGTAACAAACATTTGATTAATTCATAAGTTATGGTTGTATAAGAAATTTGCAATTATACACAAATTATTTAAAATATTAAACGAATGCGTTTGGTAATGTTGCTTATTTTTCTTATGTATTTATTTATATTTTCAGGAAGATGATTTAACTCCATTATCAGAACCGGTTGTAAGTCCCACTAGAAGACGAATTTCTGACGGAATTATGAATATCATGTCCAAGTTACACCTTGCAAAGGAGTGTCCTGCAGATAATGAAGTAAGAACTGCATTTGCGTTTATTTTTAAAAAATACTTGATATATTTTTTTTTTAGTTTGATGGCAACTCAAAAGCAATTTGCCCGCTCAGAATCGATATGTATTGCAACAATAACACTGAAACTGCCTTGCACGCTGCCATCAAAGGTAGACATTATGACATAACATTGGCTTTATTGAATGCAGGAGCAAATGCAAGCGCAATTATAAAACCTTATCATAATATGAATGAGGTATTTTTATATTTTTCTAAAATACATATCCATTTTTTAAACTGTATGTGTCTTTAGGATGTCAGCTGTTGCTCTATTGATGACGATCCAAGTTACTCTTCCTCTGGGTTAGTGGAAGCTTGCAGAAACAGAGATGTACCTATTGTTGATTTGTTGTTGAAACGAGGAGCAAGAGATGATGAATGTAAAGCTTTAGGAGTGGCCGTTGCTAATAAAGATGAAACACTTATAGCAAAATTACTTTCGATTAAGGTTAGTTCAAATCTTGGCTTGCTGATTCCAGTATCAACTGGAAAACCTAAAGATACAGAAACTTCACTTATATTCACCAATAAATTCTTTTTAGGCTCATCCAGATCCGGAATTCAAAATAAACAAAAAAGCAATGACCGAAAACATAAATTCCTCACATATAACAATGTTTGCCAATGTATCAAGCCTAACGTATTCCAGTTTATTCCCGAACACGCCCACCATGATAAATTGGCACAATCAAAAATGCGGATTAACAGAGATTAAAATCCAATGGCTGATTGATGCTGCCTTGAACTTGAATCCAAAATTGAAACAAAATCCACGAAGTTACGACATTGCTTTGTTTTCAATAACAAGATTGGACGTTTCCAATAATAGCTTGACTTATGTACCATTGGGCGTGTTTCAGTTGCAAAGTTTGAAATATTTGAATTTGTCTCAAAATCGAATTGAAAAATTGCCAGTGCCCGAGATACCGCCTGTCAAAAAAGGGTTAAAAAGGAAGCCACGTAAAGAGGATTTGTTGGGCTACAATTGTCCTCTTTTGGAAGAATTGTATTTGCAAGAGAATAGATTGAATCAAATACCAGAGGATATTTTTAAGTTGCCGAATTTGGTAACACTTGTTGTTTCGAATAATAAGTTGCAGCATTTGCCTTATGAGTTGTGGTTAGCACCAAAGTTGAAAGAACTGAATGCGTCTTTTAATTTTTTGAAGGAATTACCCACAACACCTTTGGAGGTAATTTGAACTACTACTAGTGTGTCTTGGAGAGATTTTATGATAATTTTTTGTTTAGGCAAAAGAAGACTTTGATAGAATGAGTGTGAGTTCCAGTGATAGTCATCTTTCTAGTCTAACAGAACCAGATTTTGAAAACGAAATAACGGAATTTGACAAGATGATTTGTAACGAAGAAAATATCCACACTGTTAGATACCAGAAAAAAAAACGATCTTATTTGTGAGTAGTTTTGGAATTATAATGTAGCATTTGCTTTTCGGGTTTGTTTCTCTATTAACAGTAGTTGAAGTTTGGTGAATTTTATTTATCTGTGAAATCAGAAGCCACATCTTCACAAACCGATCAAGAATGGTCATATTTTCAAAAATCTCCATCCTGTGGGTTATTACGAGTGATAAATTGCTAGTTTAACAGAGAATAAATTTACAGTGGTGAAGAGATGAAGTAACCAACGCTATTACAGAACCTCTTTTTCAGACAACTGGATCTAAATCGCCATCACATCTGGAGTAAAAATGTCGAAGTTACAGAACAAATACTCCACAATGACGAAAGCTCTCTAGAAAAATGTTCCCAGTTATCAGCCCTGAACCTGGCACATAATTTGTTCACAAGCATCCCAGTAGTCCTACCTTGTTTGGCTGTGAATCTCACAAGGCTCAATATGGCTTTCAATACGTTAAGATCAATGTCACACATAACTAGTTATCCTAGCTCTTTGAAACAATTGGACCTCAGTCATAATCAAATAACTGTATGGCCTAGTCTTCCACAGGTTGAAGCTCAAGATAATATGGAATTGGCTAATTTGGCTTGTTATATGGAGAATGTGGCTTTTAAAGGGAAATCCGCTGAAGCAGGAGGTAAGGATTTTGTTTACTAATTTATAAATGTATAACATTCATTTTAGTTAGAAGGCATTCTTCAAGATCCGTACGACATGCAGTACTACATTCGGTATGTGTCCACAGAAGGCACTTGCGATTAGATAATCTTAGGACGTTAATTCTGGCCGATAATCAGTTAAGTAGGATACAGCTTAGTACAGATGATAATGGAGATATGAGCGGTACTGAAGATGATGAACCAGAAAGAGTATGCATAATTCAAGTTTGCTTTAATCCATGAAGATAATTTGTAATTTTTAGAATCCTCAGACAACTAAAGCACGTCTGATGTTCCCCAACTTATCTATGCTTGATATAAGCAATAATAATATTAGGGAAATTCCGACGAATGTTTATGATTTGACCAATTTGTCTGTTTTGAATATTAGTGGGAATCTTGGTAAGTTTCTACTTCAGAATTATCTATGTTGCTGGTAGTATATTACCCACAAAATTTCTAAATAGCTTTCAGATTTACATGGAAAAATAATAACATTTTGGCAAAACAAGTTAGAGCAGGGCTTTACACAAACAAAAAAAAAAACAAACCTTGAATTCTAAATTATTTCCCGCCTCCATCTGATGATGTAATTCTAATTCCGATAATCTGTTTTGAAATTAAGTAATAATACTTAACACAAGTAATGTAAACACAATTTAAGAGGATCTGTAAACAGATAACAAAAGCCCGAGTTTACGCTTTTATATTTTTAGTCACACGGGTCAAAATCGGATACTCTCAAATTAAAATTTTATTTATAGGTATAACGGAGCTCCCACCACAGATGGGATTATTATCGCGCCTGTGGAATTTAAACACGCGCGGTTGCTCCTTGCAAGATCCACTTAAATTTATGATAGAAAGCAAAAAATACAAGACTATGGATATCATAGGTTATCTGAAATCCGTTTTGGAAGATGCGAAACCTTATGCCCGAATGAAACTTATGATTGTAGGCGTGCAGGGTATTGGAAAAACTAGTTTGTTGGAACAATTAAGGCAGGAAGGGGTCACGAGAAAACGACCAGAAGTAAGTAGTGTGAGATTAAGAGCAGCGTTTTGTTTAGGTTTATAGTCGAGTTGTTGGTAGAGTGTTCAATATACTCGCCAAAAGTTAGGTAGAACGCTCCAAACTTAGTTGGAACTTTGTTGTGAGTCCTTAAAATTTGTTGACACTATGGAGGTATACAATGAATTAAAACAAGATTGCCTGATTTGTTGTATTATAGTTAAAATACCAGGTGTCCCAAGAAAGTGGCTCGCCCTTATAACCTTTTTTGTTTTTCAAGAAAAACAAATGAAATTCGATGCATAAGTATTTTACAAAAATATGCAGTACCTATGTGACATACTCAACTAATTTCTGTTACTTCCGGTTTGACTGGAAACTTCCCTTATGGCCATTTGCACCGCTATCACTTAAGGGATATTAAGGGATATTTAATTTAAGTGGAGCTTTTGAATGTGATTTTTGTTTCTACGAGAGTCACATTCAAAGCTCCACTTGGATTAAATATCCCTTAAGTTATAGCGGTGCAAATGGCCGTTACTTTCTTATTTGAATAGGACACTTGTTATATTTTCCCTTATTTCAATTAGGCAATCTACTGACCGCTACTCACCTGTCAAAAACGAAATTTAATATGGAAGTTCGGGTCAAGCATTGGGTCACGCACTGTGTTGTTTATTCTGTATGTCATTGATTCTGTCACATTCTGGACAAACGTTAAGATTGGAATTATCGGATTTTGTGTGTTTAGGTATTGTGTTAATTAAAATGCCAGCGATTTGCATCGTAATTGGGTGTGGAAGTCGAGGTAACAGGGATAATGTGAAATTTTATTCAGTTCCTGCTATTTTAAATCATCGGCTTTTGATCTACAAAAATGAATTATCAAAACAACGTAGGGCTTTATGGATTACTGCAATTAAAAGAAAGGATCTAACAGAGGCTCGATTTTTCCTTAATAATAATACCTTAAGATATTCACTCTCTATCTCAGAATTTATTATTAAATTAAAAAATACGTAGAAACACTATAAACAGTATGAAATTCACTTTGAAAACAAGGTCCAGAACACTAAAAAATACGTAGAAATACCAAAAACTGAACTTAAACTGGGTACCCGTTTTCTATTTGCTTCTTTTCGAGTTGGAAAAAGATTAATATAGTCAAAATTATTAGCTGTGTTTGTTCGTTGTATTATTTTCGAAAATAACTTTGACAAATTAATTGATGACAGTGACGGATTCTATTTCAGGTAAGAATATTATGAACAATAATTAGACAGCAATTTTTTTGTCAATTTTACTATCACCGCTGTTTGAGATGTATTCAACAAGGATAGAGAAAAATCACGTGACTTTAAAATGGTATTTGTTGGACTATACAAGTACAATGACACCGCATTTGTCACTTTTTAACATTTTATCTCCAACTTATTTCAATGTTTACTTTTTAATCTAGAGCGCCATGAATTAGTTAAAATGCTATAGTTTGCTCAAAGGAACTTGAAAAAATTTGTACCACACTGCGTCAGCAGGAGTTCGTTTGCTGCGTTTGTTGTTTACAAAATCTTGACGTCATGAGAGCTGTTATATTGAAATTTCGCGTTTTTGCGCCAAACTTTTTGATATGAATTTCAAGAATTTTTTTTATCGTACGACGTATAAATTAAAATGGAAAAAAAGAAAACTATGTGATATCTGATCACTAGAAGAAATAAATAAATTGAGGAATATAAAAATTCCCTATTATTCCTAAAAATCTTATAAACAAGAATAGCAAAATGTAAAGAGACACGTGACTCAAACCTCAAGTGTTCATACTGCATGTAGATTGGGAATGATCAAATTTACCCGTACAAGAGACAAATCGTAAACAAGAATGTCTATTCGTTCGGCGGTTTCTGGTATTGGTGAAAGACAGCCTTTGGAGGATCCATCCACCGGATTGGACGGCCAAATCGCATGACGATCTCCTCATTCAGGGCTTGGCTTACCGCTTTTCCCGTAGCACTCCGGATCGCCCTACCCTGGATCCATTTGGTGAAACGGTACTGGGAACAAGACAATTTCACAATTTTCTTTAGATGAACTGGGTAACGGCCCCACCAGATCGGTACTGACGATTTCCCAGGGGTCGTGAACCTTGGACATCTGCATTTTTCCTGGTGTTTCTTGTTGCGATGTCTTGTATATTTGGCAGGAATTACAGCCTCGGACATACTTGCACTCAACCAAATAGTAGCATAAATAAAAAGAAGTTGTTCTTAGATTTAATGAACAATTCATTAAAATCGGTCCAAAGAACGGTTTCTTTGATTACATGAACTCTAGGTTATTGAAGTATGAACAATTTCTTAATTCCTATTTCGATTCATCTTGTGTATGAACAACGAACATTAAGGTATGTAGTAAGGTTTTTGTATTAATGAAACTTTTCATAGTAACAATAAACATCGTTCTTAGTTTATATGTACTTTTTCATTGTCCTGATGAACAGACGGCATAATATTAATGAAGCCCAGATATAATTTGATGAAACCCTTTCATTGTATTTATGAATCACAGTCTTGAATACTAAGAATTGCATTCATTATATTTAATAATGACGTTTTCAATAATATATACCATATTCTTTATTTTTATTAAAATAATTTCATGAATTATGCCTTAAATATACTTATGATTTTAAATGGGGTAAAGGGTCATTTTTTATATTTGCGTGTCCCCTGTACTGATGAATATGAGCAATAGGAAAAAAGCTTTTAATGCAAAAGTTGCATGGTTTCTTCGTATCATCTTCCAGAATTGTCAAACAAACCAATGGGCATCCCAAAATCTGAAAATTTAAAAATCTAAGTACCTACTTATGTATTTTTATTTTAAATGACACTAACCGTATATTCTATTATCTTTCAAATCCTCCTTAAATCCTGTTTCCATAAATATATATTATATCTATATTTGTTCCAGCTGTTTTTGAACTATCAACATCCAAAGTTTCTAAAACAAGCCACATCAGAAAATAAGATTTGATGCTTTGGCTGGTTTCCTTGCCTCGGCTATGAAACACTAGCTGCGGTATTGAATCTTCTGCTTTTCTACCTAATGAAACAAAACCATTTAACAAAAATATATCGATTAAAAAAATTACAACTTGATTTGGGATTGAGTATACTTACTTTTAGAGACAGTATTCCTTAGAAATTCTGAGGAGCTCTTGACGCTTTTGTCTTTCACGTTCTCCCCGGATGACATTTAAATCTGTAGGTCATTTCTTTCGCATTCCCATTTTGAGACTAGACCGTCTCCGTGCAAGGCATCCAAGTCCTACCTACATAATAGGTATACATATTATAGAGGTAATAGAGGTATACAACTTACCTTTAGAAAAAAAACGGCGACAGGTATAATCGACTTTCTATTTAACACTTCGAACAACACAAAACCGAAAAAACCGACTTGAACGAAGTACGTAGCAGTGCACCCAGAAAATAGAAATGTAATTATTCCTATTTCAACATATTTTTCTATGTCGTTGCCCGACTGCAGCTACCTTTGCGCATGTGCTTAGGAACTGTCTACATTAATGCTATGAACTGTTTCATTGTATTTATGATTTATCTTGATGTAATGGTTGCAGCTTTGTTTCTAGGAATAGTTGCTTGTTTTAAATGAACCGTACATTGTATCAATGAATTTCGTTCTTAAAAGGATAATTTTCTAGTAAGGTCATATGAACCATATTCATATTATTCATGTTAATATTCATTTATATTATGAATATTCCGTGGAAGCTCCCATCAAAGAAATTTTCTTTAATATCAAGGTTTAATTTCATAATATCAATGAACTTAGTTCTTGTAACCGATGCACTATTCAACATAGATTCATGTAGATGACTATTCATAACTTGATGAAGCTTCATTCTTTATTTTAATGATAGCTGTTCATGAAATCATAATACTTACAGTTTTCTGTACCTGGGATTAATGAAAATTTCACTGAATCAATGAAAATGTAATTTATGAAAGCAGTTCATTGATATTATGATCAAGATTTTTTTGAGTGTGGCTATGTCACAGAACATCCCCGGCCAGTAGTAACGGCGGGCGATCCGGACGCTGGTTTTGGCAATACCCATATGACCAACAGTTGGGACGTTGTGCACTCAAAAAAATCTCGATCATAATATCAATGAACTGCTTTCATCAATTACATTTTCATTGATTCAGTGAAATTTTCATTAATCCCAAGTACAGAAAACTGTAAGTATTATGATTTCATGAACAGCTATCATTAAAATAAAGAATGAAGCTTCATTAAGTTATGAATAGTCATCTACATGAATCTATGTTGAATAGTGCATCGGTTACAAGAACTAAGTTCATTGATATTATGAAATTAAACATTGATATTAAAAAAAAATTCTTTGATGGGAGCTTCCACGGAATATTCATAATATAAATGAATATTAACATGAATAATATGAATATGGTTCATATAGCCTTACTAGAAACTTATCCTTTTAAGAACGAAATTCATTGATACAATGTAAGGTTCATTTAAAACAAGCAAATATTCCTAGAATCAAAGCTGCAACCATTACATCAAGATAAATCATAAATACAATGAAACAGTTCATGGCATTAATGTAGACAGTTCCTAAGCACATGCGCAAAGGTAGCTGCAGTCGGGCAACGACATAGAAAAATATGTTGAAATAGGAATAATTACATTTCTATTTTCTGGGTGCATTGCTACGTACTTCGTTCAAGTAGGTTTTTTCGGTTTTGTGTTGTTCGAAGTGTTAAATAGAAAGTCGGTTATACCTGTCGCCGGTTCTTTCTAAAGGTAAGTTGTATACCTCTATTACCTCTATAATATGTATACCTATTATGTAGGTAGGACTTTGATGCCTTGCGCGGAGACGGTCTAGTCTCAAAATGGGAATGCGAAAGAAATGACCTACAGATTTAAATGTCATCCGGGGAGAACGTTAAAGACAAAAGCGTCGAGAGCTTCTCAGAATTTCTAAGGAATACTGAAGTCTCTAAAAGTAAGTATACCCAATCTCAAATCAAGTTGTAATTTTTTTCATCGAAATATTTTTGTTAAATGGTTTTGTTTCACTAGGTAGAAAAGCAGAAGATTCAATGCCGCAGCTAGTGTTTCATAGCCGAGGCAAGGAAACCAGCCAAGGCATCAAATCTAATTTTCTGATGTGGCTTGTTTTAGAAACTTTGGATGTTGATAGGTCAAAAACAGCTGGAACAAATATTGATATATTATATATTTATGGAAACAGAATTTAAGGAGGATTTGAAAGATAGTAGAAAATACGGTTAGTGTCATTTAAAATAAAAATACATAAGTAGGTACTTAGATTTTTAAATTTTCAGATTTTGGGATGCCCATTGGTTTGTTTGACAATTCTGGAAGATGATACGAAGAAACCATGCAACTTTTGCATTAAAAGCTTTTTTCCTATTGCTCATATTCATCAGTACAGGGGACACGCAAATATAAAAAATGACCCTTTACCCCATTTAAAATCATAAGTATATTTAACGCATAATTCATGAAATTATTTTAATAAAAATAAAGAATATGGTACATATTATCATAGACTTTATTGAAAACGTCATTAATAAATACAATGAATGAAATTCTTAGTATTCAAGACTGTGATTCATAAATACAATGAAAGGGTTTCATCAAATTATATCTGGGCTTCATTAATATTATGCCGTCTGTTCATCAGGACAATGAAAAAGTACATATAAACTAAGAACGATGTTTATTGTTACTATGAAAAGTTTCATTAATACAAAAACCTTGCTACATACCTTAATGTTCGTTGTTCATACACAAGATGAATCGAAATAGGAATTAAGAAATTGTTTATCCTTCAATAACGTAGAGTTCATGTGATCAAAGAAGCCGTTCTTTGGACCGATTTTAATGAATTGTTCATTAAATCAAAGAACAACTTCTTTTTATTTATGCTACTATTTGGTTGAGTGTGGTTTTCGGATAAAACCGTTGCCCTCAAGGCGTTGGAGCAACTTCCATGGTCTAGACAGCTCAGGCTCATTCAGGTCGCAGCTTTCCCAAAAATTACGTTACAGTTGTCTGTCCTCTAGTCGGTAATCGGGGAAGGTTGCCGGATTGGCTGCGACTTCCTTCAGTTTTCGGGTATACCACGGACAGGCGTCCTAGGCAGTGTAATGATTAGTATATCTGCTTCGCATGATGCGGGTTGTTTGTTTGTGAAATACTCGGCTCAGGTCATGCAGGTGTGATTCAAAGGTGTCCCCGAGTATAATAATGACATCCAGATAGCAGAAGCAGTGCGGGTCCATGTCTGAACCAATTACGTCATCCATCAAGCGCTGGAACCTTGAACTGAAATAATCCCCGAGACGGAACGGTAAAAGCATAAAAGCAGTTATCGGTCGGCTATCTTTAGCGAGCGGCACCTGCCAGTATCCTTGTTTGAGGTCGATGCTGGAGATGTATCGGGCGCAGCGGAGTTTGTCCAGGATTGTTGATGAATGGCAGCGAATATGCATCTTTGCCACTCCGTTCGTTGACTTTCTTTAAATCCACACAGAACCAATAACGGCCATCTTCCTTACGAACCATCACGCGATCGGGGAACTCCACGGGCTGTTCGACGGTTCAGTAATACCCTCACGAAGCATTTCATCAACCTTAGAGTTGATAATCTCCTGCATACGTGGGTTTTGTGGACGGTACGTTGTTTGCTGGTATTGGACACTTGTTCCTGATTTACCATGAAAAGTTGATGACGAAATCATGTTTGGATAAAATGTCCATCCCAACTACCAAACCGGCGGATAAATCGGGTAAATGGCTGAACTGTGCTTCGAAGATGGTGGAGCCCAGTTCCAAAGTCGAAAAATAGCCGGTTTCGGTACTGATCGATTGACCGTTTGCTAATAGGAGTAATAGGGTCCTCCTTGGCATGTTCTCTGCCTTTTGGGAAGCGGTCCTTGTGCAGTATTGGGCCAGTTTGTCGCCGATTAACGAGCTAGTAGCTCCTGTATCCAGCAAAGTCAGGAATAGGAATATTTGCTGGTCAACGTTAACCGGAACATACGGTCGGTTTTCCACACGGTTTCGGAGACGAGGGCGAAACTCCGTACTGGTCTCGTAGTAGTACGGCGCCGATCTAGTTTCCCCCGGTACAGCACCAGTCTCGGGATAGCACCCCTTCAGTTCCACAACGAGACCAGAACAGTTTTTGTGGGTTCGTGCAGGTATCCCGAAGATGTCTGGTTTGGCCGCATCGCCAACACTTTACTCCTGTGGTATCCAGAGTGGTTTGTCGGGGTGCGGTGTTTACATTCGGTACTCGGACTAAGGGAGTAAGGCCGGCTGACTGGGTTGGACGGTTAACTCGAGGGGGTCGGTCTGTGGAAACAGGATTAAGGAGGACCGAATTCCGCCGGGATGCCTTAGGAGCGTTCAGCTCCTGGTCTAGTAGCTCATATTCTCGCACCATCTTTGAGAAGGATTGAATATCGTGGAAGTCGGATCGGCGGATGTAATGTCGGTATTCGCGGCGCAAGTTGCGGTATGGTATAGCTTCTGGAGTTCCTGAACTGGGGAAATTCCACCATGCCTCCTAATCATGGTCTGCATGTCGGTAACGTAAGCTATTGCGGACTCCCCAAGACGCTGAAGCCGACGGCTAATTTTTGCTTCCAAGTCCACTTCATAGTTCACCGGAAAATAACAAGTGCGGAATGCTGGAATGAACTCATCCCAGCTTGGCCAATAATGTCGGTTATTTTGGAACCACAGAGTCGCTTCTCCCTGGAGTAGTTCAGGGAGAACCTGTAGCAAACTGTCGGGGTTTACTTGTTGTGTGACACAGGTTTCTTCCAGTCGCTTCAGAAAAGCAGCGGCGTCTCCTCGCCCAGAAAACTGGATATTCCGGTGCCTTGTTTTCGGTAAAAAAATAGCGGTCGGTATCGCAGGGGGTGTTGTTACACCAGCTAGGGGTTGGTTGATTGAGGGACGGCCGGTCGGGGATTGGATTGACTGAGACCGCAGGGGGTAATGATTGAGGGTACCATAGTGGTGGTAGGGTTCGCAGGGAAGACGAAAGGTGGTGCTACTTTTGTTGGTGTGCGGTTTCCATCCCTGATGAATTTAATCAGGCGTCTTCGAAGCTCGTCCACAGTGCTAGTAGTGTTCAATGCGAATTTCTGTAACTCTGCGACAACTTCAGGTCTCCGGAGATTGTAGATCCATTCTACACGAGAGTAGTTGGGGTTGGTTAGGGCATTCATAAAGGGGTTTGGTACTGGAGGGGTGGTAAAAAATTAAAAAAAGGAAATGAAAAAAAAAAAGAAGACCACAATGAAAAGAGAGAAAAAAAAATCAGCGAACTTCACAAGCTCGGGGATACGGTCAGAGAACTCCCTACTCCAAATCTAAACGGTCCCTGCTCGGGCGCCAAATTTGTGAGGCCTTCTTGCTTTGCGCTGGACGGCAGGCCGGTTTCGGCGGAACTTGCTCGAGTGCCACCCTTTGAGTCATTTGAAAGCGACAAAGGGATCGCTTACGGACAGCCGTAAGGTAGCTTAAGTGAAGTACAAAATGTCCAGGGCGTCAGTCAATAGTAGGAGCAGGGAGTTGGAATTGAAACTCACAATACACGGTAGTAGCTAACAAGTTTATTTCAAAAGAAATCAAACAATCAACAAAAAAAAATATGTCTCTACGGCCTTTATACGTTTATTAGGGTCCCACTGGTAGGCAGACGTGTGGGGTGAAAATCATAAACAACAATGGTTTTAAAAAATTCAAAGGGGTAACGGTACAGAGAATAAATTCCTAACAATAAAATCAATTAAAATAGTGCCTACGGTAAATTATCAGCACCTCTCTATTCTAGCTAATTACAATGAAATCCAAATAAAATATTCGGGTTTCAAAGGTGTTGATATAATGGAAACACAGTTGTGAACCACTTTACTGGTATTTATGACCCGTTAAGAGAAACTAAGGTACCACATTCTTTTGAGTAATCCGGACAGATAGCCGTGGCAAAAATTCTAATAATTTTAAAAGCAAAACGATTATCCGGAATTTGCTGGAAAATGTATGTGGTTAATCGGTAACTGACATTTTACTTATAAAACAAAAATGTGGGATGTCAGCGGCGGGTAGCGGAAGAAAAAGTAACTTCGTTACATACTTACGCATCGAATTTCATTTGTTTTTATTAAAAATCAAAAAAGTTATAGGGGCGAGCCACTTTCTTGGGACACCCGGAATAGATAGGATAGTAAGTAGTATCTATTAAATGAGTCTCGACTTAAGGGTGATCATTTAGAAAAGCAAAACCACTGGGGAAAGGAGAATGACTACCATATTTAATTCTGTTGACTAGGTAACGTAGAAAAGAACTGAAAAGGTGGGACCAATCTATAAAACTGTTAATCAACTCACTACAAATTAGAAAGTCGTCTTCTATGCCGTTAAACATCTTTTAGCTTATCTGGCCATATCAAGCTTCTTAGACACAATATTTTATGAACTTTTGAGTTGATCCTCATAAGGTGCTGTAAAATGATGACCATACGATTGGAGCGTATTTATTCCAAATGAGATTCAATCAAAGAGCAATATAATATGAATGCAATGAACTCACTGACAGAGCATTACCAACCCTGTAAATGAAGCCCAGCATCTGTAAAGCTCAACTTACTATGTACTCAAAGTAATGTCTGAAAGTGATTTCCAAATCCGAAAGTCCTTGATTAAGCTTAAAAAACTTCTCATGCTCACAATTGCTTAACTCTTAGACAACATCTTGCTATTTATCAAATTCACAAGTGAATGATTAATTGAAAACCATATTGTCTTAGAAAAGTGACTTCTTCATTCTAGCAATTTTCTGTTACATTTGCAAATACCTAATAATAATGTATGTGAACTTTCCAGCATTGGGGTAAAAGAATGGGAAACAAAAACATAAACATTAAAACATCCCGAGGCTCGAACATGTCCACTGTTGGAGTTGATATTGGCGATTGGATCTATGAAAAGAAAGTCCGAAATCAGTCCGTACACGGTCCAGTTGTGTTTAGAACTTGGGATTTTGGCGGACAAAAAGAGTAAACCTAATACTACAAGTATTGAATCACAACTAAAATTTTATTTAAGGTATTACGCTACACATCAGTATTTTCTCTCAAAAAGAAGCCTTTATCTGGTAGTCTGGAAAATACCAGACGGTCATCGAGGTATCAATGAAATCCTACAATGGTTAGTAAATATTCAAGCTCGTGCGCCGAATTCACCAGTTCTTATTATCGGTACACATTATGATGTTGTGCAAGAGTTTAATCCAAATATTTCGGAGGAGTACCAGCAAATCATACGAGATAGATTTATTAACGTAGTTGATGCTGAAAAAATGGGACTACCTCGAGTATTGGACACCATAGAAATCAGTTGCAAAACAAGGCACAATGTTAAATTGTTGTGCAATTTGATTTATGATACTGTATTCAGCTTGAGGCCACCAGGTAAGAGGTAATAATTAGTTTATTTAAGGGTTTTATTTATTTTGCTTAAAATTAATATTCAATATTTTCTTACAGGCAGCAAAGAATTACTCTTAGAACAAAAATTACCTGCTACTTACCTAGCTCTAGAAGATATTGTAAACACGGTAGCCAATGATAGAAGAATAAATGGATTAGATCCAGTATTAACTTCGGAGCAATATAAATCAATTATGACATCGGAAATGCAACAAAGATATAATAAAACTTTCAGAGATTGGGCCGAGTTACATCAAGCAACTTTATTTTTACATGAGAATGGTAAGTAGAATTTTTTATTGATTTTATTTATATAATTTTTTTTTTCCAGGAGTATTACTACATTACGATGATGCCACACTCAAAGACCTTTATTTCTTAGATCCTCAGTGGTTATGCGATATGTTAGCCCATGTAGTAACAATTCGCGAAATAAATCCTTTTGCGAGAACTGGGGTCATGAAATTAGATGATCTCAAACATGTTTTCAAAGCCAGTAATATTGGACCTATCGATACTAGAGGTTACGTCGTTAATTTGTTAAATAAATTTGAAGTTGCTCTTACTTGGGACTCGCGTACTTTATTAATTCCTTCGTTGCTTCCTTCTGAAGAGGATATGATTATTGCTCAAATGTATCCTGGACAAGCGGTACAACCACTGGTGAAAGTGAAAGTAATTTTTTGTTAATTAAGGCCTATTTGAAAATTAATCTATAATTAATTTAAGGTGCCACTTAGATCTCGAGGTTGGGCTGTTAGAAGCAAAAAATTGACGGTTTCACCAAAATCTATATTATATAAAGATGACGGCTCTCCGAGTTTCCAAATGACTATGTCGGGTACTCCTAGAGTTGGTGAGGAATATTAAATGGTCGGAACTAAAACTATTTTACTAATTACAATTTTTTAGAAGAACAACCAGAACTAATTCATTACGAAGTCACTGCCAGACATACAGACAAATCAATAACACGTCTATTGCTCATGTCGTACTTCCCTTCCGGATTTTGGTCCCGTCTTATTTCCAGAATCTTAGCAGACGATAGTATAATCGATATAATTAGGTCGTTTTTTGTTTTACCCAAAGACGTCGCTCAGGATGTGCATTTAGCAAAATGTTTGGACTTGAAAGCCGAATGGGTCCTTTGGCAAACTGGTTTACAATTGAAATATGGTGATATCACTTTGTTTAGGATGAAGGAGGTTTTGCATAATACTGCTGCGCATTATAGACAATTGAAGTAAGTGATTTTTGCTAAAATTTTATTTGTTTCTTCATTTCTGGTCATTCTTTGCTTTGTTTTCTTGAGAAAATTAAAATTAAATTTTTAATTTTTCAAGGTTCAAAATAAAACAAGACAGCATCTGGTGTGATGTGGACCTTCAAAACTCCTCAATACTAGAAATCCAATTTCCAGTTGATTCCATGGTAGTCAAGCCCAAATTGTCAGAATATGCAGATATGGGCCAATACAAAATCAAAGATGAACTAGTTATAGATTGCACCTCCGAGTCGACTGCCCAATTATTAGCCCTAGCAGTGGATCACATAGATATTTTACTAGAAGATTGGTACCCTACGCTGGGCACTCGTTTTGTACACACTTCGGAAGGCAAATTTTTAGTTACCAGGCTTGTCCCGTGTCCGCAATGTTTGGGGCAAAGTCAAGAACTTGATAATTTTGATATGAATCAACCATCTACATCTCATAGTCACAGTCAAGATTTTTTGCAAGAAAATTTCAATAGAGATTTGTATCGGATAAGAAAATCGCAAGAATCATGCACATCAGAAAATGATAGCGGTGTAGATCCAGATTCAAGTGTTTCAAGTAGAAATGTGTCAATGGAAGGCCATCCAAACGTTCAAATAGACGATCAAAATGCTAAAAGTCCTATTTATTACTCATGGCTAGTTGAGGAATGTATTTTATCATCGTATAATGAAAAATCTGTTACTTGTCCAAGTCATGGAGAAATCAAACTTGCTAGAATAGCTCCAGATACTGTAAGTAACAAATAATCCATCATTTAAACTTTCCTAAATATTCTTGTTTTAGATGTTCCTTGACTTAGGAGAAAGATACATAATAAAACCAGAAAACATAAAAAAAGGTAAACTCCTAGGCCGAGGTGCTTTCGGTTTCGTATTCAAAGGCGCCTGTAAAGTCAGAGGCTCAAACAACATGATAGATGTGGCAATGAAAATGCTCCAACCAGTACAGCCGGGACCAAACGCCCGTCAATCGGCTGTACTGGCTTATAAAGCCGCTCAAGGAAAATGGGATAGAGATCCTCTACAATACGCCTGTAAAGCTTACTGTACTGCCAGACAAGAGTTGAATATTTTGCTGAGTTTACGTCATCCCAATATTGTACCTTTCGTGGGAGTTTGCACCACTCCGTTGGCATTGGTTTTGGATCTGGCACCACAGGGAGCGCTTGATTTGGTTTTGAGGCATTATCGTAGATCAGGAGCGAAAGTTGGGCCTTATACTATGCAAGCAATAATTTTACAGGTGTGTAAAGGGTTTTTGTATTATGGTGTCATCTAAAACTTGGCATATACAAGGTTTAAAGCAAAATAAACCATTAAGTGATGACCAGACCATGAAATTTTACCTCTAGTAATGTTTAATCTATTGTAAAAATTCGGGTTCAAGTGCAAGTCTCTTAACTGTTGCATTGCATTGCATTCATTCTCAATATTGTTATATACATTATACTTAAACACACATAAAATTGTTGTCTTTAGGTTGCCAAAGCTGTTGAATACTTACACCGACAACATATTATCTACAGAGATTTGAAATCTGAAAACATTCTAGTATGGGAAATGCCGCCACCTTTTGTCGATCATCCAGAATATCCAGTGCATATCAAGGTGGCAGATTATGGTAACTACATACTAATTTTGATCAATATTTTCAAGTTTATATAAATTATGTTTCAGGTATCAGTCGCCTCACTTTACCGTCAGGAACAAAAGGTTTTGGAGGCACAGAAGGCTTCATGGCTCCAGAAATTATGCGCTATAACGGCGAAGAAGAATACACGGAAAAAGTTGACTGTTTCTCATTTGGAATGTTCATTTACGAACTTCTCACATTACACCAACCTTTCGAAGGCCACGAATCGGTTAAAGAGTGCATTTTAGAAGGAGGCAGGCCCCCGCTAACGTACAGAGAAACTTTATATCCCAGCTACTTCCTAGATTTAATGGTTTTATGTTGGTCTCAACAGCCGAAAGATCGTCCAACAGCCAGTCAAATTGTATCTATAGCCAGTGCTCCAGAGTTTACTCATTTATGTGATGTAGTGTCTTTGAAACATCCTGCTTCTGTTGTTGCTTCTACTAGTGCTGCCTTGACTTATATAACTGGTAAGAATTTTTGTAACAGTAACACTTGCTGAGAAGTTTTCAATTACAAATTTTTTAGAAGATGGTCTCTCCGGTTCAGAAATGTGGCTAATGTGCGAAAATTCTAGAGTTGATTTGCTTCTAGCTGCCGACAGAGGTTGGTTACAGTATCACACCATGACGTTACCGATAAGACCGTCAGCTACTTGTTCAGTGGGTGATACGGTTTGGATTGGTGATTGTTCAGGGGCCATTCATGCTTACTCGTAAGTTTTAATGAATCTTGTATCCCAAAAATGACAATTTTATTCCAGTTCTAGCGATGGGCGAAAACTTTTTTATTACGCTCTCGAAATGGAGCCAAATTCCCAAGTCCAAGCCCTAGTTCCTCTTGCTCCATTTAAAAGAGTAGCGTGCGCCTTGTCAAATGGTAGATTGTTCCTGGTTAATTCAGAAATTAGGCCTTGTACACCTACAGCAGCTGAAGGCACGTTTGTTATGACAGAATTGGGTTTGACTTCGGGAATCAATTGTATGTGTGCGATATTTAGGGAGGAAGAACGGTAAGGAACTTTTAGAGATGTCTCCTTTTTTTAAACAAAACTTGAGTTGGACTAGAGCTGGTTTATTTATCAACATACTTGCATATTTTCAAATATACTCACTACATTTTCATGAAGTTCTTGAATCTTTTTGGTATTGAAAACGCCATGAAAACAGGTACTGAAATCGATTTCAGTCTCAAGATGGCCATCGAACTGTCATTCGCGATTTTATAATAGCAGATTTCTATATTTAGCATGCAGTGTTACCAACCTAAACATATGAAATCAGGAAATATGAGAATAAAATTTCCAAGAAAAATTTGTTTTTTTTAATTAGGCAATACCAAAATAGAAAAAATAGTATAAAATATTCGTTTCATAAGACATTTTATCGCACTCGCCCTCTAATATAGGGCTCGTGCGGTAAAATGACGTCTTATGAAACTTGTATTTTAATGTACTATTTTAGGAAAAAATAAAGACAACTAAATAGCTTTGTTTTGGTTCGAAAAAAGGACGGTTCTAGAGCGGTCCAAAAGAATCGCACAGTTTATAATTGGAATTTTTGATAGCCGAGCCGTTGTTATTTTGTTGAAAGTAGATAAACTGTGCGGTTGTTTTGAACCGTTCTAGAACAGTCCTTTTTCCGAACCAAAACAAAGCTAAAACTTATCTGATAGACATCGCTGTGCTGGCTGACCATAATACGTCCAAAAAATACACCGAAAAGAAACAAAAATATCAAGAACTAGCTATAGAACCGGAAAGAATATGGAAACAGCAACAAGTTCGAATTATTCCTTTTATCATGTCAGCAACGGGTATCACGCCGAACACATGCCGAACACTTTCATTTAACAGCTTCATCAACTGGGTCTCAATGAAAACATAACCCTCCCAACCTCAAAAAGCCACTTGTAATATCACAAGATCCTTTCTCAACCAGAAGTGACCTTTCCTCCAATGGACTAAGTAACCGCCCGTCGATTGGAGATATACCAGAGTAAAAATATGAGAAGAAGAAAGAAATAATAATAATAAGACGTTTATAAACCGTTTCAGTTTTTTAAAATAATTATACAACGGTAAGAGATACGACATCGCTTAAAATAAAAAAGTTGTGCAATTTTGTGCTCATTAAAATGGCGCTTTGATGTTTTAAAAATTCCGAGTGCTAACGGAGATATCCGGAAAAAACCGAAATTTTGTAAAATTGATTTTATTTTTTTTCTACTCTACAAGATGACATTTTCAAATTTAAAATCTAAAGTTTCGTCTTTGGGCAACCATCATCAATTCATTTTTTTAAATAAGGCCCTTGATTTTCTATTTTAGATCTTAAGAGTTTCTGATGTCCCAAAACCTATGACATTACGTATTTATTCGAAATAGTTATTTTTGTCACAAGTACCCAAAATGAAGTTTTTCAAGACGAATCATTGCTGTTTCCGGACGAGGCGTTAGCCGAGTCCGGAATAGCAGATGAGTCCTGAAAAACTTCTTTAGGTACGTGTGACAAACACTATTTTTTGTCATACGCTTTTTAGAATTCTTCAGAACGCTAAAATTTGCAAAATTTCCTCAATTTTTGAATTCATAAAGGTGCATCCAGAAAGAAAAAAAAATCCTAAAAAGAAACATTTTACGGGCTTGAATGAGTCCGTAAAATAGCTGTTTTTGGGAGCGTATGACAAAAAAATATTTTTCTGCGATTGACAAGAAATGTCAGTATTTTTGGCCGGTTGACAGGTCGCAAAACTGAATATTCTGGTATTTTAATTATATTTCAATAGTTGCTAAGGAATCAATGAATAACAATACAGGAAACACTTTTCCGGCCTAGGCCGGGAAAGTGATTCTCGTACTGCTGAATAATTGGAACCAAAAGACAAGCATTTAGCAGGTATTTAATCGATCGCAGAAAAAATAGTATGTGTATTTCGGTGGAAAAGCACATTCTCGGCCTTCGGTGTTTGCCGGCCTCCGCTGCGCCTTGCCCGTCAACTTACATCGTCGGCCGAGAATGTGTCACTTTTCCACCTAAATACACAATATACTATTGTTGTACTTTTTAGTAATTTCCTGCCAAAATTCTCGTCTGTCTGTCTCTTACACATTAGGTTCTTATGGAAAGTGCAAATAATATAAATTTTTCGAATAAGTGCAATACGTCATTGGTTTTGGGACATCAGAAGCTTATAAAATCTAAAATAGAAAATAAAGGTCCGCATGTAAAGAAATTAGGTTGATGATAAGAGCCCAAAAGCAAAACGTTGGATTTCAAATTTAATAACAACATCTTGTAGAGGAGGAAAAGTGGCAACGATGAAGTACCATTTATTTAAAAAAATCTCTACAAATAAGGTCAGGAAAAAATAAACTCATTTTAGGCGAATTTCGGTATTTTCCGGATATCTCCAGTAGCACTCGGAATTTTTAATCAATGAATCAATCAATTCTTTATTGTTTAAAAAATATATACATTCTTATAACAGTAGGTTCTGCACAGTAATGGTCTTAATCTAAGTAATGCCACATTTCTTATACTCATTAGCTACACGTTCAAATATATATATATATATTTCCGGCTTATAGCGTTCTTCTACGCCTTCCGGTTTCCATTCTCCATCTCTCTCGGTCATTCCTACATTAAGATTGCGTTCGGACATTGCCCTTGATATTCCTTGCAAGAGCATTTAGGTCGTCCTCGTTTTCGTCTTTCTTGGGGAGTCCATTCCATTACCAACTCGGGAATTCTTTCTGTCTATCTTCAACGTTTTGCGTGACATTTTTCTTAACTTTCATTATCTGGCGGACTCTTATCATTTTTCACTTTTTCACATGTTCCAGTCGAGATATTCTTGCTGACCTCCGCCAAAAATCCATTTCGGTGGATAGCAGTCTGTTCTGTTGTTGTTGGTTAAGTTGCCACACTTCGCATCCGTATAACATTATGCTCTCCACAATAGCATTATATATTAGGAATTTAATGTTGGGCGTGATATTTTTCGACCACAGTACAGAGTTTAATGCCCCAATTGCTTTCTTGCCTTTCGTTATTCTCTCTGCTATTTCCTTTTCACTTCTTCCCATGCTATCAATCTTCACTCCAAGATATGTATATTCCTCGCAACCTTCTATAGCTGAATTGTTGTCTAGTGTGAGATCTTCTGGGTTTTCTCCCACACACATATATTTTGTTTTGCTCATGTTGATATGTAATCCCCATTTTTGGTATTGTTCGATTAACTTTCTAGTCATATATTCCAGATTTTCTTTATCATGAGTTATCACAACTTGATCGTCAGCGAAGTGCAGCGTGTATAGTGTGTAATCATCTGAAAGTGGGATACCCATTTTATTAAATTTTTTGCGCCATTCGAGCAGTGCTTGATCAAGATACATTTTAAACAGAGTCGGCGAAAGGCAGCATCCTTGCCGTAGGCCCTTGGTCACTGGAAATTCTTCCGATAATGTTTGGCCAACCTTAATCTGAGATCTCGCCCCCAAATATAGTTGTTTATTGGCTTCTATGACAATATAATTTAAAGAGGTTCTTGCCATTACTTCCCACAACTTTTTAATTGGTACCACCGTGTCATAGGCTTTAGTCAGATCTGCAAATAGAAGGTGCGCTTTTTCATTGGTAGTTGCTAGTTTTTTCTCTATAATCTGTGTTAGGGGAAATATATTGTCAATGCATGAGCGACCTGCTCTAAAACCTCTTTGCTCTTCTATTTCAAAGGGACCATATTCTTTTTCTACAATCTGTTTCAGTAGTTTTCCGTATAGTCTGCTGAAGGTGCTTGTCACTGATATGCATCGGTAATTGGAACACACGTCTTTCGGCCCTTTTTTATGGATTGGAGTTATCCATCCGATTTTCCATTCTTCAGGCATGGAGGCTTCCCCATTTATGTTATGTATAGTCATAAGCACTGATAGAAAGTTTTTCAGTTTTGAGGAGCCCTATTTCAGTGTTTCAGCTGGGATTCCTTCCGGGCCGCATGCTCTGTTATTTTTTAGAGAGTTTAGAGCTTTGTCGATTATTTGTCTGGTTATTTCGATCGGCATTCCCTGAACGTTGTAAGCTCTAAGAGATAGGGTTGTGTATTCTAGCCTTTCCTCTTTAAGGTTCTTTCCATAGTGTTCTTTCCATTTTTTCATGCTAATTATTGGAAGATTTACTTTAGTCTTGTGGTTTGATTTCAAGGAGCTTATAGCCCGCCATACCTCTGTTGATCTTGTGATAAAGGCATTTATGTCGCTGCACTTCTCCCAATATTCGTTCTTTTGTTTTGTGTGAAGTCGCTTAAAAGAAGCTAACTCTCTTTTATAGGATATCCGGTCTTTCTGTGTATCTGTACTAAGCCATTTTCGATAGAGCTCTTGTTTCTTTGCTCTTTGCTCTTCAAGTTCTTCATTCCAATCATCGGTTAGTCTTCTTTTGCCTTTTTTGTAAGTTCCCAAGCTCTCCATGGCGGCGGCTTTTATTGTTTTTGTCAAATGATAGTATAGATCATCCAGAGATGCGTTTATCAAGTTTTCGTCCAGTTTTTCGTTTAAGCGGCTTTGATATAAGTGCTTGACGCTTTCCTCTCGAAAAAGCTCTACTTTGTACGACGGGTTATCAATAGTATTGAAACTTGTTGAATCGTCATCGAGTCGTGCATTGTTTGTTTTTTTGAAGGGGATTTTTATTTTTGCTTTGACTAGGAAATGATCGCTTCCACACTCACTTCCACGCAATGCTCTAACATCCTGACATATAAGTGTTTAGAGTCCTGACGCAGAATAACGTAGTCAATTATTGATCGTAGTTGCCTTGTTTCTTGATGCCAAGTGAAGTGATGGATGTCTTTATGTTGGAAGAAGCCAAGGAAGAAGCCATTCAAAATTTTTAGGTTGTGTTGTCGACAATATTCTATTAGCCTTTCTCCGTTGTCATTGAGAACATTTTCTCCAAATTTTCCTACGACAGGATGCTTTCCCTTGTTGCCAGTTCTACTGTTTAAGTCTCCCATGAGTATAATCTCCCTTTGGTCGCCAATCGTTCCCAAGGTATTGTTAAGACAGTCAAAAAAGTTATCTTTTATTAAGGCAGCTGCATCATTAGCAGGTGCATATACACCAATAATAGTGATTTTGTGCCCTCGCTGGTTGATATTTGCCGTCACAATGCGTTCAGTGTTTGTTTCCCAATTGGTGATTTTTTGTTCATAGCTGTTTTTTATCACAATGGATACCCCCTTTGCAGCTCGTTCTTCTTTGGGAACGCCATTGTACATGTGTAGGTATTCTCCTACTTTTTCTATTCCTGAACCTTTCTTCTTGGTCTCCGTTAATACAGCTATATCAATGTTTCTTATTTGAATTTCCCGTAAGACGTCATTTAGTTTGTTTTTTGAGCCTTGAATGTTCCATGTCTCACAGTTCATGTCCGGTATTCGTTGCATGGGTCGTCGTCGTTTGGTCTGATCAATGTGATTCCGAGGCTGGATTGTGGGATTTGTTGCATAGTAGGGTTTTTTGACAAGGACTGCGCTGCAAACCCTGAGCCTCAACCCCCAACCTGGAAGACCGGGTGATTTGTGGTCAAGGTTTTCTTCCTCTAGCCTTTGATGTTCCAACATCCTCCTACAAGGCACCAGCTTCGCCGTATCCTGGCAGGAGCCCTCGCAGGGTACTATGATCCGGGCCAGATGAACCCTGGTTTTTTAACATGGTAACCCCTTCCTCCTTCCTTACTCCTTGAGAGTAAGGCCCCAGGCTTAGGACTGGCACAGCGGAGTTCAAATATGTAAACCCAAATTCAAAAAGGACAAAAGATAATACTTTTTATTAATTTTGGTACAAGGAGAAAAGGAAGATAAAATTAAAATCTAAAGGATAGGTCTATTCATTTCTTAAGAACGATATAAGTTCAAGAATACTAGTAACGGTTTGGAAAATAACCCTCACCAGTTGAGGAATTTTAAAAATATCAAAGCGCCATTTTAATGAACACAAAATCCGCAACTTTTTTTCTAATTTAAGCGACGTCGTATCTCTTACCGTTTCCCAGATCCCCATACTGGCCCTCCTTATCTTAGACACATTAGATACTATGCTAAACAAATAAATCTGTGGTTAAAGGGCTGCAATTCAGCCTCCCAAGGGTTAACAAATATGAAAGACCCTGCATAAAGATGGGACAAATATGTACAAAATTGCAATGACGAAGAGAGCGTGGACTTATTCATTTACTGAAATTCAAGTAATGGGTTATTTCAATTTCATAATTTTCGAGCTGTGCATTTGGAAAAAAACTAATGTTTTTTGCTAAGCCAGTTCGAATGTTTTGAACTGCAAAGTAGCAAAACTACTTCTTATATTTCAATTGATAAATCCTAAATAGGTACAAAGTTTACACTTTTTATTACACATTTATATAGTTTTATAAAAGGAATAAAACTAGCCAATCTTCAACTATCAATAAAAAAGCCAGCTCTTAACCAGTATATAATTATTACTCCTCATTATCAATATTTTTAGGGTGTGTGAATTATGGTGTGGAGGTTACAATGGTCAAATAACCATATACACAATTAAAGACCAAGTTGTAGCAGGTCACGAAGTCCTCAATCATTACCAGCCCGTCATAGATTTGGTGGACGTTATGAATTTGGTGTCCATGGAAAATACTGTTTGGTCTTACGTCAGACCTGGTTGTGTGGTGTATCAGTGGGACGTTAAAACTAGGTGTATCGTAAATAAACTGGATTGCTCGAAGCTGGTACCTTGTTCTGAGAGCTTGAAATCGATTGCCATCGAGGAACACTTGAGTCCTACCAATTGCCAAGTAAGAATTTTTAATTTGTTTTGTCTTTGGGAGTTTTAGAATGTTCTGGTATTTTAGGTTTCAACTTTAGTAGTTCTAAATGATGAATTATACATAGGTACCACTTGGGGTTGCGTAATAATAGCTGAAAAATCCACTCTAAGGCCAATTACAATCTTTAGACCGTACGAAGAAGAAGTTAAACTAATAGTTCCTCTAGCTGTACCAAAAAGTATTAACGAGAGTCACGAAAATCCTCCGTTAATAGCCACAATTGGGCGTGGTTATCGTAATTTATTGTCTAGATATACTAACGTACCGCTGCCTGTTGGCACTCCCCTTGCCAGTCCCATGTCAAGTAATTACAAGTTATATTTGAATAAACCGAATTTGTTTATTTTATTGTGGAGGGCCGAACATTGGAATGCGGTTTAAGGGTTATCATTTTCATTTTGCTTGATAGTATAAAGGCTAGATAGCATTTCCGTCCAAATGTTTTGCCTTTAACTATGAGCCATTATTATATTACTGAATGAATCTGACTTTTGGGGTTGTTTTGCAAATAATATTTGACCAACATATCCGAAAATCAAACTGCCTTCAAGTTAAGGAGTTGACAGATGATGATTGAAAGCTGCATATTATTAAGTTTTATTTTGCAATAAATCAGAAATATTTATAATGCAAATATAAATAATACCTAAGTTTTAAATTCAGTATAAGGTTTTTCAGATAATTTTCAACGAGGTAACTCTATCTTTTTCCTTACTGTTTTGTGATTGATTTCTATTCTTCAGTACTTTCCACTTATACTTTGTGGAGAACTAAGAAAACTAGTTTACATTTAGATGCATTTAGGATGATTTTGATTTGTTACAAGAAAAATCTCTTAGGAAATAAATAAAAATATGCCAAACAAATATATAGGTATATAATAATAATGATTTGCTTGAATTGATTTGTGAACAATAGCTCAGATTATGTAGAAGTAGGTTGAAAAGTAGGTATCTTATATCTAAGTTTTTTTTTTGAACTGACTTTCACTGTTTTCAAATAATTTTTGTTCAGCTTGGAAAATCAAAAAAAAAAATATATATATATATATGTAGATTCTTCAAGCATATTTACTAGATGATTATCATTCATCTTTTCCCACCTTTATAATTATTTTGGTTTTTAAAGAATTATTTGTATAGATTTCTGACTATCCTCTAATCGGCTATGCAAATCAGAACACCCCACATTTTGGATATAATTTGTGACTCACTATTTTGTAGCGTCCAGCTATAGAGGTACCATCTATACTTTTATCGTTTAGTTAGTAGTATGTAAGCTTTAATTTTGAATGAAATTGTAACTTTAACATTAGGTATTTATTATGTATGATGATTTGTGATATATTTTAAATTATTCAATTAATTTTTTTTATTTTACGTATTGTGAAAATGCATTATTTCAAAAGCATTCCATAGTGATAAATGTTTTTACAGGGCACTGATACTAATATAATTTTAATTGTTATTTCTTATTTATTATTATTCAAATGATACACTTTCTTGTACTATTTGGATTTAATTTAGACTGTTTCGTTTAATTTAATCTGTGATGGTTATTTGTCAAAAAATAAAACAATTATCCTACTTCCATTGTTGCGTTTTCCTTCCCTTACAAATTAAATAATGCATTTTAAACTAATTAATATGCAACAACTAATTATACCAGGTTAACAAAAACAAGTTATGTTGGCTATAGCATTTTCCATTTTATATCACAATGACTACTATAAAAGCAGACTAATTCAATTAAACCGATTTGATGATTTTGTTTAACCCGACCCAGGGGAGAGGATGGCAGCACAAAAGCGCATTTCCGATTAAACACAGTCAAGTGGGCTCGACAAAATGCGGAGCGATATGAATTTTTAGCAAATATTATTGCATTCTCGTTTGTTGTTTGTTTTTGAAATTCATTTCAAATAATATTTATTTATTAATAAATAGTGTTTTGATGGAAATAATAGTTATTTTTTTGGTAAGGATGCTGCCAATCAAAAAGCTTATCCGTAGTCAAAAGAGAAATTCCACAATTGCCCCAAATTTCTTGGGACTCCTTCATATAATTTATCAAATTTCTGGGGTCGATTCATAATATATTTACTAGCCAAACGTCTAGGAATAAATTGCAAATAAATAAATTGAACCTGCATTGCCTACCTACACAGGGGCGGATACAGGCCTTTTGAAAGGGGGGGGGGGGGGGGGTAGTTTAAGTTGAAGCGTTGAGCGTTGTGCTACCGAGATCATCGCCGCCGGCGCCGCCGGACGAGACGTGTGGCATGAGTTACTTGACAAAGCGGCACGGCGGCATCTCTTACGTTGCATTTCCAATTGACGCAAATAAATCTAATCTGCACATCTTATGTTACGTCTTTACGGTTATACGTTACATCCATTGTAAAATGGGCTTAGCAAGGAGATCTCTCAATAGTGTCAAATGATTGAAATACGTTTCCGGATACAGATACGAGGCTAGGCCCGTAAGGATATGGACAACGCAACGCAACGAAACCACCGTATCTAATCTGCGCATGCGCAGATCGATGCGGATACGGATACGTTTGAAATTCAGGACCTACTCAACACATTCACTGACACCTGATTTTGGTGACATATTTTTAACGGGCATTAGCGGCATTTCCCGCCAACGTCATAATGAGAATGCGGGCGCTGACGTTATATGACGCATTTCCTTTTTTGGTCCTGGTCTACTAAGGTCCTGACGGAGCTAGCGTTGTATGCCGTCATTTTAGCGTATATTTGGTGTTAGGTAAGGGTGCCGTATTGGAAACCCGAAAATATATATTTAGAATTGATAGTATAATTAACGTCCCCGGAACCACCCGAGACACAGGTTAATAAATTCATGGAGCATATCAAGGTGTCTTTCTGAGCGCACACCTATATTTTTGGTGCCGTTTCCGACATAGTGGCTATGACGGCAAATACCGCGGGTGTCATTGAATGTGTTAAAGTGTCTATTGATACGTGGTTCAAGTACGATACTAACCTGACTCACTCAAATGTCAGTTATTCTCATTAGTTCAAAAACTTCAAGTTTCAGGTGAGTGTCTTATTTGAATAGTTCAATAGTATATTGGTGAGTAGATGGCTGCGAAACTCGCTGCGCTCGTCCCACAGAAGTCCACCCATAAGTTCCGCAATAATCCACTTATTTATTTATACTTGAACAATAATTTATTATATAAAGTCAAAATTTGTAAAATTATGATTATTTACTTTTTGTCAATTTGCCTTTCAACAGGAATTAGTAATGTTACTTTACCAAACTAGTAACATAATGTAACAAGTAATTCAAGTACAAATGAGTGAATTGTTGCGGAACTTATGGGTGGATCTTGCAGCCATCTATTCATCGATATGTTGTTTAATTACGAGACTAAACTGACTCACTCAAATGTGCGTTATTCTCATTAGTTTAAAAATTACACGTTTCAGGTGAATGTCTTACTTGAACAGTTCAACAGTATATTGGTGGTTAGATGGCTGCGGAACTCGCGGTCCATCCATTAGTTCCGCAACAATCTACTTATTTGTACTTGAAAAATAACTTATTATATAAAGTCAGAATTTGTAAGATTATCCACTTTTTGTCAATTGGCCTTTCAACAGGAATTAGTAATGTTACTTTACCAAACTAGTGATATATTGTGACAAGTTATTTAAGTACAAACGAGTGGATTGTTGTGGAACTTATGGATGGACCCAGCCATCTATTCACCAATATGTTGTTCAAATACAATACTAATCTGATTCACTCAGTTGTGAATTTTTCTCATTAATTCAAAAACTACACGTTTCAGGTGAGTGTCTTATTTGAACAGTTCAACAGTTTATTGGTGAGTAGAGAGGTCCACCCATAAGTTCCGCAATAATCCACTTATTTGTACTGAGTGTTTTTTTATATAATGACCCCCACTTACAGCCTTTACCTTTACAGGTAAAAGAAAGGTGTAAATACAAAAGTTGTACAATTTTGGCTGAATTTTTAGAAACCATGGTCAGAAACAAAATTGGAATGTCAGAAATCTGAAATTTTGCATATTTACAGATTTTTTTAAATGGGATGCCCTATATTTCATTCTATATTCTTGAAGAGCACAATGCCCCGATCTATATTTGATTGAGCAATCTCTCATATATTTGGCTCCAAAAATTGTAAAAATACTATCCTACTACTGATTTTGTGAACCATTTTACCTGTACAGGTGAAAGCTGCAGGTAAAATTTGAGGTACCTACTTAGTTTCTCTGATAGTATTTTTAAAATTTTTAGAACCAAATATGTTGGAGACGGATCAACCAAATATAGACAAACTATGTATAGACCGGTGCATAACGACCATTTTTTCAAAACGATTTTCTCCCGTCTGCCATTAAGGGTGGTTATTCTTTATGCAATAAGAAGTGGAATGGTTGAAATTTCAAAGAGCCCTGCGTGTGACAATACAATGATATGCTAATTTGAAAATGTAATGAAAAGTGGAGATGTGGATCAATATTATCCCGTCTGCCACAAATTGTGAAGGTAATTTTAACAAAAATGAGTAGAAGGATGCTAAATGGCGGAAACCCTGGGTTAGTATAAAGTGCCATGTTACTAATTTCAAAATGTCACCAAAATCGGACATGTGGATCAACGACCTCCCGTCTGCCAAATTAAATTTATGTTACATTTACGATGTAATACATCAATAAGTAGATGGCAGAAAATCTCGGTTGGTATAATAATATTTAACAATTTTTGAAGTTGTATCAAAATGCTGAGATGTTGAAACAATTTTCTCCCATCTGCCATTTGGAAGATAAGTTTGACATGCAAAGTAAAATCCAAGAAATATATTGGCAGATGTATCCAAGGCATATTAACAATTGGCAGAAACAATAAAAATGTCAAAATTTTTCAAAGTTGAGATCAATTTTTTCCCGTCTGCCAATAATTTATATTAAATTAGCTACTACTAAAAGCCTAAATTTCGACTGGCAGAAATTGCAGGCTGATACAAGTTCTCATAATTTATCTCAAAATTGGAACAAAAATTGTTTATATCATGAACGTGTTTAACCCGTCTGCCGTTTGTTTCAGTGTAAAGTACTCATGGGAATATGCATAATCTCAATATGGCAGAATCCTCAATGAGCTACATACGTTGCACAATTATTGTTAAATTGCTAAAAATGTTTATGTGTCCAAACAATGGACCTTTTGCACTTAATCAAAATTAGGTATATAATTTATCTGTAACGACAGTGTATTTTATGTACCATCGTCACCAAAAGTATCTGGGACACAAATAATGCATAATAATCTCCTGGACTAATTCATTTCAATGCATTTAATGTATAGTTTGACAAATATTTGACAATAAAATTCATATAATAGGACAAGAGCTAATGTGATGCTGTCCCAGTTACTTTTGGTGACGATGGTACTACATAAAAGTATGGTCGGTTAATTTTTAAAAAAATCTTGAAGCCAGAAATTGGAGAAAAAAAAGCAGATTATTTGAATTTTGTGCCATATTTTTGCACCAATCAAAAATCACTGATTGTCAAATTTCCATGTTCCATACGATTCATTTTTTTTCTTTTTTAACACATCATATATATCAGATATATCAAAATCGCTTTGTATATCGACTTTGGTACAGCCCTACTTTTGACTCGACTAGTATCGATAATTTTCTTTCCTTGTCTATAAATGCGAATTAAACAAAGAAATCGATATCTGTACTAATCCGGCACAGTATAAAGCAGGACGCGCACTGAATCGACTCGGACCGGTCGACTCGGCGAAGAGCAGTCGGCAGTTTTTGATACTCATGCAATTAAATAAGGCTCAGTAAATGTGTTGCACAGTGTTGTCGAACGTCAAAATAATAAATCGGGAGAAACTAACGTTGGGAATCGGTAGATTACAGCGCATAATCGGTAGGTATAACACAAAGATAATACACACTACTAAGGATTGCTTATCGGCATCGATTTCGGTAATCGCGGCCATATTGGTGTATCACCATTACGGACGTCATTAACTAAATCGTCAGCTGTTTGCGCCAGCGGTCCTCCTTGTTTAGAATTTAAATTTATGATTAAAGATATTTTTCAATTTTGATTAACATAATAGGCAAAGAGGAAGATGCAAACGAGATCTGAACAGGAGTTCTTAATGTTAATAATGTAGTAAGACCAAGTATGCATAAGGTAAAAGACCGCAGAATCATAACCTGTGATGCAAACAGTGCCTACGTCAAGGCGAGAAACGACGTGCTGCATACGTCACAACTGGTGATTTGGCGTAGTGGGGGGCTTTAGATTCGTTCTACACAGGTCTTATGAGGATATGCTATCTTTTAGTTGTAGTGTGTATTATCCTTGGGTATAACCAGTGTGTATAACGTAAAAACTAAAATCCAGCCGTGCTTTCCTTTAAGCTTTCTATTTCGTCGAGTATGAAAAAGTTCAGTGATTGTTTCCGTGGAAAGTCTATCTCTTTGTAATGTTTCCATTTGATTTATTGCTGAGAATGTGCGTTCAGCACCGGCGGAAAAATGGGGCAATAACAAGATA